CCCCAAAACCCCAAAACCCCAAAACCCCAAAACCCCAAAACCCCAAAACCCCTTTTCGTATAATTTTTATTGAAAAGAGTTAAATAAATTCCCGTTCGCGTTTATCAATTGCTTCAAGTATCCGAATGGTATACCGCAATTGGACAAGAGTCTCAATGATCTCTTCATAAGCTTCCGCTTTGAAGAGGCTGGAGACCTTTTCAACAATGGTTTGCTTCTTAAGTAAGGTGTCTGCTTTAAGAACATTCAGTTCTTCCTGGGTTTCAGATGATTCTATTTCTTCTCTGATTTCCATTATCTGTTGGAGATATTCTATGTCCGAGATTTGGTCGCCTTCTTCAAGTGCTTTATAGCCTTTCTTTTTCAAAATGTATTTGGCTCGCTCAAGGTCGTCCTTCAGAAGTTTGTAAGAGTTATTTATAAAGGAAGAATATGTGGTGGAGTTCTCCATAAGATCTTCATCCCCAGTCATGGTAAACCTATCTGGATGGAACATTTGCTGTAACTGATAAAAAGTCTCGTCCAGTTTCTCAATGTCGATATCATAATCCTCCTTTATATCGAAGAGCTCGAAATGATCTACCGAATCAAGAATTGAAGGATCTTTAAGGTATTTACAGCCCTCGCAGAAGAATCTGAATTGGTCTTCTCATTCTTCGGTACATTTATCACAACATGAAAGGGTATGGTTATCTTTGCCAGTAAAAACTCCCATTTCTTGATTTACCCTATTTACGGATGCATTGCGATTCCGAGAATGAGGCTCTCTTGGGCCGATCGAGAAATATCTAGCTGAGAACTGATAACAGCTCTTGCTTTGGATTGACCTCGTTTTACGTGAAAATAACTTGGAAATAAACTTTCTCGATCTACCAATGACGTTCATGTTAGTACTTAATAAAAATTTTATAGATTAATTAGTGGCTTTTTATATATTGTTCGTGACGTGCCTTCAACAAAATCCAGATAAAATGGGGTTTTGGGGTTTTGGGGTTTTGGGGTTTTGGGG